TGTCACTACCATTCCTGCAGAAATTAAAAAGGGTATAAGAGTATTATAAGTTTATGCCAACGAATTAGACGATGTGAATGAATTCCAAGGAAGACACAGATTAATAAATTCTATGAGAAATAAAAATCTGAATAAAAGTATAACAAATACATTGAATTAGTAATTTCAAATCTCACAAAAATGTCCAGATCTAGATGGCTTTACTAGTAAATTCTATCAAACATTTAAAAATACCAATCATTCACAAATTTCTTTCAGAAAAAAATTGGAGGAGATGTGATACCAAAGCCAAACAAATTACAAGAAAAGAAAACTATATATACTTTCCCTCCTGAACATGGATGCAAAAAGTCCTAACTTCTAGTCACAATTTTACTGGAGAATCTAGCCTATGCAATGGTGGGGGAGGAATTGGAAAAAAGGAAGTAAATTTATTTGCAGATGACAGTATATGTTGAAAATCTTAAGGCATCTATATAAAGAACTATAGTAATAAATGTGTTTAGCAAGATCAGAAGATACCAGACCAATATATAAAAATGAATTGCATTTCTGTATATTAGCAACAAACAATCTGAAATGAAATTAAGGAAACAGTCCCGTGAATAATAGCCTCAAAATAAATTTAACAAAAGTCAGTATGAAACTTGTACACTGAAAAATATAAAAATTACAAAAGATTGCTATGAAAAATTGACGAAGATTTAAATAAATGGAGAGATATTCCATGTTCATGGATTGGAAGACTTCCCACATTGATGTAGAGATTCAGCGCAGTCCTTATCAAAATTCCAGCAGACTTTTACTCAGAAATCAGCAAGCTGATCCTAAAATTTATATGAAAATAGAGACCTATAGTAGCCAAAACAATTTTTAAAAAGAATAAAGTTGAAGGATTTAACACGACCTGATTTTAAAATTTACTACAATACTGCAGTTAGCAAGACAGTATGGTACTGATACCAGGATATGTCAATGGAACAGAGTTGACTTCAGGAATAAACCCTTACATTTATGGTCAGTTGATTTTCAGCAGTGCCAAAGTCCTGATTCAAAGGGAAAGGGATAGTCTTCTCGACAAATGTTGCTGAGAGAATTGGATATTTTAGTAGGTCCAAAAATGGCCACCCAAAGAATTAAGTCCTAATCCCTGGAATTTGTAAATGTTACCTTATCTGGAGAAAGGGGTCTGTGCAGCTGTGAAGAAGTTAAGGATTTTGAGCTGAGATTGCCGTGAATTACAATGGTGGACCCTAAACACCACCCCACGTGTCCTTCTAAGATGGAGGCAAAAAGAGACGAGCCTTAGACACACAGAGGAGATCACCCCAGAGGAGAAGGCCGTATGAAGGCAGGCTGCAGTGAGTAGCCACAAGGAGAGGAACACCAACAACCACCGGAAGCTGGAAGGGGCAAGAGCAGACTCCCCCCAGAGCCATCAGACCGAGTGTTGCCTTTATGATGCCTTGATTTAAAGTAGACCTTATGAGGCGCCTGGGTGGCTTAGTCCGTTGAGCATTTGCCTTCGGCGGATCCCAGGGTCCTGGGATCGAGTCCTGCATCGGGCTCCCTGCTCAGTGGGGTGTCTGCTTCTCCCTCTCCCTCTGCCCCTCCCCCGCTTGTGTTCTCTCTCTCTCTCTCTGCTCTTTCTCTCTCTCCCTCAAATAAATAAAATATTTAAGAATAAATAAAGTAGACCCTTAATCTCACACTATATACAAAAATCAACTGATGATGGACCCAAAGCCTACATATCAGGTTACACTACAAAACTTCTAGGAGAAAGCATAGGAGAAAATCTTTTAAATCATTGGTTAGGCAGAGATTTCTTATGTAGAACACCAAAAGCATGAGCCAAAGAAAAACATTGATAAGCTTCATTAAAATTTTTTAGATTTGCAGGGGTTCCTGGGTAGCTCAGTTGGTTAAGTGTCCAACTCTTGATCTCGGGGTTGTGAGCTTGAGCCCTGCACTAGCATGAAGCCTACTGGGAAAAAAAAAAAAAAAACATAATTGGGGCGCCTAGGTGGCTCAGTTGGTTAAGCATCTGGCTCTTGATTTCAGCTCAGGTTGTGATCTAAGGATTGTGAGATCGAACCCCGTGCTGGGCCTGGAGCCTACTTAAAATTCTCTTTATCTCTCCCTCTCCCTCGGCACCCCACCCGACTCTCTCTCTCTCTCTCTCTCTCTCAAAAACAGTTTTAAAATGTTTTAAATTTGCTCTCAAAGGGACAGAATGAAGGAAATGAAGACAAGCCACAGACTGTGAGAAACTATTTGCAAAACTTACATAATCAAGGATGTGTATCCATGTATAGAAAGAAATTCTAAGAAATCAAAAATCCAGATTTTAAAATGGTGGAAAACATTTCACCAAGAGCCAGTTAGTGTCTAAAAATCTCATGGAAACCTATTCAACATCATTAATCATTAGAAAAATGCAAATTGAAACTACCAAGATACCACCTCACACACACTAGAATGAGGATAATAAAAAAGATCATACCAGCCATTGGCAAGATAAAGAAAAAATGAAAACCTCATACACTGCTGGTGAAAAGGTAAAATGGTGCAACTACTTTGGAAAAACGGTTTGGCAGTATTTTAAGAAGTTAGCATAACTTTCCCAAATGAGCCAGCAGTGTCACTCACAAGAGAAATGAAAACACAAGCTCACGCAAACACTTGTACATGAACGTTCACAGCAGTGTTATTCATAGTAGACCCAAACGAATCCATCCAAATGTCTGCCAGCTGATGAAGCAACAAAAAAAGGTGGTATTTCCATACAATGGAATACAATTCAGCAATTAAAAATTAGAAATAAACTTCTAACACTTGTTACAATATAGATGAATCTCAAAAACAAAGACATTCTGCTAAGTGAAGAAAACAGCAAATCACACAGCTTCTTATGCAAGGTCACGTTTTCATTGTGCTACTTTTGTTTGTTGATTATATATAATCCTGAGAAGAAGAATATGTTGCCATCATGTTGAGAATATTTTTAAATTTTCACTCTTATGCAACGTTTTCAGTCTGGGTGACTCTTGAGTGAGGTATTTAACTTTCGGAAAGATGTGGATAAGGCTATTCGCTGTTAGTTCCTTTTCTTTTATTAAAAATGTCAGGGCACCTAGGTGGCTCAGTTGGTTACGCATCCAACTCTTGATCTCAGCTCAGGTCTGATCTCAGGGTCGTGAGTTCGAGCCCTGCATTGGGCTCCATTCTGGTCGTGGAGCCTTCTTTAAAAAAATTTTTTTTTAATTTAAAAATGTCAGCCAAGTAAAACATGCACAGGGTTAAAAAAAATCAAATTGTATTGAAGGATTTCCACCCCAACAGTTCCCACACTCAGCTACGCTATCAGGAGGCAACCCCTTAAGACATTTCCCCTTTTGGGGCCCCTGGGTGGCTCAGTCATTAAGCATCTGCCTTCGGCTCAGGTCATGGTCCCAGGGTCCTGGGATCGAGCCCCGCATCGGGCTCCCTGCTCCGCGGGAAGCCTGCTTCTCCCTCTCCCACTCCCCCTGCTTGTGTTCCCTCTCTCGCTGTGTCTCTCTCTGTCAAATAAATACAATCTTAAAAAAAAAAAAAAAAAAAAAAAACATTTCCCCTTTGTTACTTCTGGAGAATAAAACATTTGTCTAAATAATTTTATGCCCCCATTTCCTCATTTATCAACCTGAAGTCATAATTAGGATCTCCTATTTTGAAAATGTTTTGTACATATCCTTTCCCCATTTTTCTATTTGAATTACCCCCTTCCCTGGTGTATTTTTCTATTAGCTCCCGGTTTATGCTAGGCAATAACCCTGTATAGTTTCATGCAGCTGTGTTGTTAAAGACCTGCCATCTGTATCTTAACTCTCTCATTGAGCAGAAGCCTGAATTTTGGTGTAATGAGAGCCATTGATTCTTTTCCCTTACAGTTTATGCTTTTGTTTAAGGACTTTTTAGCATTCTTTGCTCTCTATTATTTCCAGACTCTTATCTTTCACATTTAGGACTTTAGTAGAGTCTGCCTCTAGGTCTGGGATTAGGTAGGGGCCCAATTTTATTTTTCTTCTATATTCTGTATTGCCAAGTCATTCTCTAAACAGTCTGTTGTTTCCCCATTAATTTATTTTTATACTTTATCTTATGCTGAGTCTCATACAAACATGTGGGTCATCTTCAAATCGTCATTTTCCCTTGGTCTATTCATCTGTTCTTGTGTCAATTTCAGTATGTCTTTATTAAAATACGGCCCTTGGGCGCTTGGGTGGCTCAGTCAGTTAAGTGTCTGCCTTCAGCTCAGGTCATGATCTCAGGGTCCTGGGATCAAGTCCCAATCGGGCTCCTCGCTCAGCGGGGAGTCTGCTTGTCCCCCCGCCCCCCCCCCAACACTCTCTCACTCTCTCTCTTTCTCAAATAAATAAAACCTTTAAAAAATAAAAAATAAATTAAAATAAAATATGGCCCTTTAGCATGTCTCAGTATCTGGCAGGACACACCCACCCTTTGTTTTCTCTAAAATTCGATATTCATAGATTTTTACATCTTTATATGTATTTTTAAATAATTTTGTTGAGTTCCTTTGAAAAATACCAGCTTTCTGATACTGCATTTCACTCATAGGTTAAATTATGAAGAATCAACATCTTATAATATGAAATGTGCCTATCTAAGAGTATGGGATGTCTTTGTATTTATTCAGATCTTCAATCTCCTTTATTAGAGTTTTTGTTTCCCCATAGAAGGATTTTGGATTCTTGGATAATTTCTAGATATTTTATACTTTTAGTCATCGTAATTTGTATCTTACTTTTATTATATTTAGTATACTTATTGCTGGCATAGAGAAAGACCATTAGTTTTTTTTCTTCCCCCCGCCCCCAAGTTTTTATTTAAATTCTAGTTATTTAACATACACTGTGATACTAGTTTCAGGTATAGAATTTAGTGGTTCAACACTTAACATGCAACACACTGTGCTCATCACAAGCGCCCTCCTTAATAAAAACTTGGAACAATTCACTAATTTGAGGGTCATCCGTGCAAGGGGGCCATGCTAATCTCTGTTTTGTTCTAATTTTAGTATATGTGCTGCCAAAGTGAGCACAAGACCATTAATTTTGTAAATTGATCTGGAAGACTTGCTGAACTCCTGTACGTGTTCTAATACAGTTGACCTTTAAACAACATGGGTTTGAACTGTGCTGGTCCTTTCATATGTGGTTTTTTTCTAGTAAATACAGCACACTACTATAAATGTATTTTTCTTATAATTTTCTTAATAACATTTTCTTTTCTCTAGCTCACTTTATTGTCAAAATACAGTATATAATACACATAATATACAAAATATGTGTTAATCGACTGTGTTATCAGTAAGGCTTCTGGTCAACGGTAGGCTATTAGTAGTTAAGTTTTGGGGGAGTCAAAAGTTACATGGGGATTTTCTGCGGCAGAGGTGTCAGAGTCCCTAAGCCTCATGTTCAAGGGTCAACTGTAGTTTGGTGGTTCTTTTGGTTTTTTTCTAGGTAGATGTTCATTACAGTTGTTATTTCCTTTTCTTTTGTTACTGCATTGCCCAGGATCTCCAGAACAATGTTAAATGGTGGCAGCAGCACTGGCATCCTTACCGGGTAATGAATCGTAAAGAAAATCCGTCTGAAATCTCTCTGTTACATTTCTCAACTTAAGTTGCTGCGGGATTGTTGGTATATAACCCTTAGCAAATGAACGAAGTTTGGATCCTCTGGGAAGCAGACATCAAGACAGAAAAAGACATGCAAGTGATTTGGCCTGTTGATATGATGGATTACACTGGTTGATTTTTGAATGTTGAACTAGCCTCACATTCCTGGGACAGACCCCACGTGGTCATGACGTACATTTGTTTTAATACATCACTAGATTCATTTTGCTACTGTTTTGTTGAGGATTTATGCATCTAAATTCATGAGAGATGTTGATGTATAGCTTTATTTATATGTCCTCTTTGTTATATGTTGGTATCAAGGTAATAGTGACCTCATAAAATGAGTTGGGAAGTGTTCCCTCCTCTTCACTGGCAGACATTTTGTGAAATTGGTGTTAATTCTTTAAATGCTGGAGAAATTCTGTATTTGAAAACATCTGGAACCTGGAAGTTTCTTTTTTCAGGAACTTTTAAATTACAGATCCTATTTTTTGAAGGTTATAGGACTATTCATGTATCTGTTTTATCTTGCTGGGTTTTGGTAGTTTGTGGTTTTCAAGGAATTAGCCCATTTCTTCTAAGTTGTCAAATTTCTGACATGTGTGACAAATTTATGATTTATAATGTCTGCAGGATCCTTTGTGGTGCCCTTCTTTCATTTTGACACTGGTCATTTGTCTCTTCTCTCTTTTTATGCTTGTCAGTTGAGCTAAGGGTTTGTCAATTTTATTGATTTTTTTGACAAATTTTTGTTTCACTAATCCTCTCATTTTCATGTTTTTATTTTCAGTGATTTCTGCCCTTTTTTTAAATTTCATTCTTTCTGCTTGCTTTTTTGTTGCTGTATTTTTCCTTTCTCTTCTTTTTCCAGCCTCTTGAGGTTGGAATTTAGATTATTGATTGATATATTTTCTCTTTTCTAATGTAAACACCGTATTAGCTGAACCCCACAAAACTTGATATGTTGTATTTTCAATTTCATTTCAATTTTCATTCACCTTCATTCATTTTTATTTTTTAAGTTTCCTTTGAGACTTCCACTTTGCCCCAGGGATTATTTAGACGTGTGTTGTTGAATTTCCAAGAATTTGGAGATTGTTCTGTTGTCTTTCACTTACTGATTCCTCTTTTTTTTTTATCTTTATTATAGTCAATTAGCCAACTTACTGATTTCTAATTTGATTGCATTGTGATTAGAAAGCACATGCTGTATAATTATAATTCTTTTAGGTTGGTTAAGATGTGCTGTATGACCTAGGATCTGGCCTTCTTCTTCACGGTGAGTGTCCCGTGCGACTTGCATAGGATGCGTATCCTGCTGTTGTTGGGTAGAGTATTCAGTAATGTCAGGCAACTCCAGTGGGCCATGGTGTTTGTTCCTCTGGAGCTTTGTTGGTTAGCAAACGTTGTAAGCTGGGTTTTGAAATCCCCAGCTACAACTGTGAATTTCTCTGTTTCTCTTTTCTTCTCCACCAGTTTTTGCTTTGTGTGTTTTGAGACCTTGCTGTGTGCTACACACAAACCTAGGATTGCCGGGTCTTGGTGGGTTGACTGAGTCTTTATTGTTCTGTGACGCCCTTTTTTGTTATTATTGTCACTCTTGCTTTTTTTCTGATTCATATTTGCATGATACAGCCTTCCCATCCTTATCTTTCCTCTGTGTCTATAGTGTTGTTTTGAAGTCATTTTTCTCATAGGCTGCAAGTGATTGAGTCATGTGTGTTACCCACTCTGTCTCTACCTTTTTTCACTCCTAATTTTTTCCAGCTTTACTGAAGAATAATTGATCTCTGTGTTTTAATTGGTATATTTATACTACTAATATTTAAAATATTCATATGTTAGAGCTTAAGTCTGCCATTTCAGTATTTTGTTTTATATTTGTCCCCTTTCTTCATTCCTCTGTTTTTGTTTGTTTATTTGGTTGTTTTGAGGGGTTTTTTGCTTGCTTTCTTGTGAGTTACTTGACCATTATTCAGCACTAGATTCTTCTTTATTTATAATATTTTTTTACATGCCACTTTGCGTAACTTTACTGCCAGTTGCCCTAGCTGTGACCTGATGCCTGTGTGATACACCGCAACCTGTGCTCCATCAGTGTTTTACTCTCTGAGTGTAGAAAACTTACCTCCATTTAGATCTTTGACGCTCCCCACTTCTTTTTTTTTTTTTAAGATTTTCTTTATTAGACAGAGAGAGAGAGAGAGAGAGAGAGAGCACAAGCAGGGGGAAGGGCAGGCAGAGGCAGAGGGAGAAGCAGGCTCCCCGCTGAGCTGGGAGCCCGACGTGGGGCTCGATCCCAGGACCCCGGGATCATGACCTGAGCCGAAGGCAGACGCTTAACCCACTGAGCCACCCAGGCGCCCGCCCCACTTTTTTTTAAATATAATTATCTTAAGTGTTTCCACTGCATGCACTGAGCACCACATCAAATGGTATTACAATTTTGGCTTCAAACATAAAGTATAATTAAAGAAACTCAAGAGGGGAAGAGCAGTCTGTTATGTTTGCCTCTGTTCTTCTCCTTCCACTGTCCGTGTCTTCTTCTCTAAAGGTCCCGCCATCTGTCTGTTGTCATTTTCTGCTTTAGTCTGCTCAGGCTGCCATGACACATCCTGTAGCCTGGGGGCTCAAACAGCCCAAGTGCATCCCTCACAATTCTGGAGGCTGCAAGTCCATGGTGAGGTGTTGGCAGGTGTTGTTTCTCCTGAGGCCTCTCTCCTTGGCTTGTAGGCTGCCCCTTCCTGTGTCCTCACATGACTCCTATGGGCATACACCCCTGGGGTCTCTTCCTCTTCTTGTAAAGACCACTGCTCCTATCAGATTGGGACCCCACCCTTAGAACCTTGCTTAACCTTAGTTACCTCCTTAAAGGTCTTCAAATACAGTCACATTGGGAGTTGTGTTTCAACATAGGATTGGCGGAGTGGGGGGTGCAATTCAATCTATAACATTTTTTTTAATGTTTGGAGGGTTTCCTTTACCAGTCTTTAAAAGGTAGGACTGCCAGCACCAAATTCTTTTAATTTTCCTTCATCTGAGAAGTCTAATTCCCCTTTATTTTTGAAGGATAGTTTTGCCAGATATAGGATTCATGGTTGACAGATCTTTTCTTTTATTTCTAGAAAAATGTATCACTGGCTTCTGGCCTTGATGGTTTCAGAAGAGAAATCTGGTGTTATTAATTTGGTCTTCCAGTACAGGTTGGTTTTTAAGATTTTTTTTTTTTTTTGTCTTTAGTTTTTTGGAAATTTAATGATGATGTGTCTTTGTTCAGACTTCTTTGTGTTTATCCTGTTTGGATTTCTCCCAGCCTCTTGAATCTGTAGTTTTATATCTCTTGCCAAATTTGGGAAGTTGTCAACTATTGTTTCTTTGACTGTTTTTTCAGCTACACCCTCTTTCTCTTTTTCTGGAACTTGGGTGATAAATGTTGGATATTTTGGATACTTAGACATCTGTTTCACAGATCCCTGAGACTCCATTCATTTTTTTCAGTCTATTTTCTCTGTTTTGTTCAGACTGAATAAATTCCAGTGATCTGTCTTCAAGTTCATGGATTCTATCCAAAGTCATCTCCATTCTACTATTGAGTTCATTCAGTGAGTTTTTATAACTTCTATTTCTTTGCAGAGATTTTTTAATTTTTTCATTTTTCTCAAGAGAATTTGTATTTGTCTATTGAAACATTCTTTTTTTTTTAAAGATTTTATTTATTTATTTGACAGAGAGAGACACAGCAAGAGAGGGAACACAAGCAGGGGGAGTGGGAGAGGGAGAAGCAGGCCTCCCGCGGAGCAGGGAGCCCGAAGCGGGGCTCGATCCCAGGACCCTGGGATCATGACCTGAGCCGAAGGCAGATGCTTAACAACTGAGCCACCCAGGCGCCCCTGTCTATTGAAACATTCTTAATTACACTGTTTTAAAATCCTTGTCAAATAATTTCAACATCCTTTAGCTTCAGTATTGGCATCCGGTGATTTTTCTTTCTCAAAGTGTAGTTTTCCTGATTGTTGGTATGATGAGTAAATTTTTATTGTATCCTGGACATTTTGGTTCTTGTGTTAAGGGACTCTTAATGCTACTTAAATCTTCCATTTTTAGGAGGCAAGTGTCCCCTTTTACATTTACTGTCTAGGTTCTGACCTGCTTTTGTGGGAGGGTTAGTTTTTAGAGCCCTTATGGTGCTACTGGCTGGCCTCATTCTTCTGGCACTTCTGGGCTCTCGCTCAGTCCCCCCTATTGGGGGTGGGGGGGCTTGAGGTGGAAAGGGTGGAAGTTGCCTCCCTGGGTTATCTGTGTTGCTAGGGCCACCTTCTGCCCTGGGACATGGGAGGGGCTTGAGCCACTGAGCCTGGGTCTTCTCCTGCCACTGGTTGCAGAGCACAGAGCTGCTGGGCTGTGCCAGGCAGCCCTCT